AGCAAGCTTCAAATATTGTATATTTATCTATTTAGAAGTTACTAAGCCATAATCCATTATTTAATTAGCCTTATTTGTTACATCATAGAGAATAAACAAAAAAAGAAACAAATGCCATTCTACCTGTGTATGATTTACTGAGAAGATTGTAGATTAAAAAGTAACTTTTAATAAATAAATATAAAATAAAAAATATAAAAAAGAAAAATAATATGAACAGCAGGAGTAAATGGAGACTATACAGTGATTAAAACTCTGTGACTACTTATACAAGCTGTAAAAGTGTATACATAATAACACTAATGCTGAAGCAATACTGTTTAGCTACAATACAACAGTGTATTCCCAAGTAATATAAGTGATATTATATTATATATCACTAATAGCTGTAACAAGAGGGGGGGAGATAAGACAACTGCTAAACCAGTGCGGTCAATAGTTAAAAGATATGGATAAGTAAATCCCTACATGATAGTACAACTAACGACATGGGTTAACTCCACATACAATAATTGATAATGTTCTATGGTGCTAAACCTCAGAAAGATCAAAGATAATGGTTCAGCTAAGACAGATTTCTGACAGACGGCGATTAGCCAGTTAAATATCACAAAAGCTGCCTAGATCATAGCAGCATTTTGATAATAAATTAAAGATTGCTGTCAAGCAGTAAAGTATAAAATAAGGGGTTGCTGACCTGGCTCCGTTTTTTCTGCAAGATACCTAGCAGTATATTCTAGTGTAACAACAGCTGCATGCACTGAATGATGTTAACTTATGCTTGACGACAGTGGAGCACAAAGTAGTAGCTCACCTGTGAAGGACTGCTGACAGGCAGCAGTTAACCGGTTAAAAATCACACAAGTTGCCTAAATGCTAGCTGCATCTAAATAATAGGTCAAAGTATAAAGAGAGGGTTTACAAACAGTTTTTGAACGGGTTGCCTAGGTAATAGAAAATATTACCAGTTAAAAGTCACGCAAGTTGCCTAAGTGCTAGCTGCATCTAAATAATAGGTCAAAGTATAAAGAGAGGGTTTACAAACAGTTTTTTGAACAGGTTGCCTAGGTAGTAGAAAATATACAGACAGTGACAGAGGAAGGCATATAGAATAAAGATTCCTGAGTCTTGTGCCTTTGAGGGCACCCCTTATTTGTTACATGTTTCACATGGAAGATGCAGTCTTGGTGTTCATTCCAGGCTTTTACTGGTAGACTAAAGGGATACTATAGGCATCAAAAAAACTTTAGCTTAGTTGTGTTCTTTGTAAAAAGATCATGTACCTGCAGTCTCACTACTCAATTCTTTGCCATGTAGGAGTTAAATCACCTTTGTTTCTATCTATGCAGCCCTAGCGCACTTACCCCACAGCCTGCATGAAAAAAAAAAATGTTTTATTTTCAATCAGATGTTAACTTACTTTAGACGATTCTATCTTGTGCTCTGTAAACTTTAATCACACACAGGAGACTCCTATATGTTTTAGAAAGCTAGGAACAGAGCATGAGGTAAGAATCTAAATTCAACAGAATGTGCAATAAAGGATATTTAAGCATTAGATCTCTACTTATAGGGCATGTTTAGGAAAGCTGTGCAAGCCACATGCAGAAAGGTGATACTAGGGCTGCATAAACAAAGTTATTTAAAGGAACACTCCACTGTCCAAATACAAAATAAGTCAAAATCACTGTTTGATAGATGTTGTGGAAATAAGGTCTGCACATATTTCCTAGTTAGTGAAAATGTCTATTTACTCATTCCACGATATATCATATATAAAGCTGAGCACACATGTTTTAATCAAAATGGCTGCTAGAAGCTTCTAAAGCCTCCTCCCCCTCCCCCTTCCCTTCTTAACACCAACTAACTACCTCGTGCAGCAAGATGGCGCCGGGAAACCGTGGGAGACCCTCATGATCCCGGTGACATCACTTAAGTAGGCAGAGCATTAGAGCAACCACTTAACACCTAACCAATAATTGATGTATTATTCTATGTTATCTCTGACAATGCTTATGATGTAATTTTGCTTTAAAAGGGACCTGCCGTCCCCTCTGAATAAACTTTCCTCAAGTTATTCAACAACCTGGAACCTGTGTCTGGTGTGAATTACTTCAGGGAGTGTGCACGCATTGTTTCATTGATTTGGCCAGGGGCAGATACACAAAGAAATAATCAATGTATTGATTGATTTTTCCATTTCAATAGATATTCCCCAAATAAAAACTGTTATGTATTTAAGTATACATTTTTCATTGGGGTGTATGTATAAAAACAGCTTGCAAATTCTGCAGTTCTCTGGTCTGATGCCTTTCCAAACCAGGCTGTTATTTCACCTTCTGTAGCTTTTCAATCGCAGACTTCCCAATGCAGCTTAATGAGAAGTCTTTGCTCTGGACAATTGCTGCCTCTTGAGTTTAGCTTCACTGAGCTAACTAAACCAGGAGGTAAATGTATCTTTGGTCTGCTTGAATGCCATTGGGGTGTAACTAGGTTAATTTATAAAAGTGTAAATTTCTGTTGAAATCGGCACTTTTTGCAAAATAAAAACACTCTTTACACATAAAGCTTTTAAACAAGCTGGAATGTCCATTTTACTCCTAAATGGCAAAGAATTGTGCAGTGACACTAAAACTGCTTCATTAAGATGAAGTTGGTTTGTTGCCTATAGTGTCCCTATAAATTCAGCCATGCTTTCTCTTTTAGTGAATTCAAATGTATTAGTTTATTAGTGTATTAGTATGGTCTAACATGTATCTCAATTTTACATATGCTATCTTTATAAAAAAAAAAAAAAAGAGTCGCATTTATTTTGTGTACAATGATGAAATTGCTGTAGACAGAACTAAATACATTAATCTTTTGGATGTTTGAAAAAAAATAAGAGAAAAAATTAGGAAGTAAAGAATATTTACTCAACATGTAAATATAATTCACGATAGCCTTTCAATACTTCATCCTTAAATTACTATATGATCACCATTGTAACATGACCAACTGCCTCTTTACCTCATACATGTGGTCTTGACACATACTTTTAATTTACTAGATGGAGTGATCACCAAGGAGGAATATCACTTAAAAATAAATTGCAACAGGAGCGGAAGACAGACCAGATTGGTAAGATTGTGTCTCCAAGATATCAAGTGTAATGGTCAATGTAATTACCAATGAAGATTTCCGATACTTTTGAAAGCAAAAGCAATATGTCCTGCTTTGTCTTGTTTTATGCTACATGAACTGTCATTCTTCAGAATTCTGAGCATATTAATATGAATGTAATTTATATGATTGTAATAGCGGTATTCACTATTGGTTGTGGAAAAGTCATGATTTGTACAGAGTAGAAAAAATACTGTAGAAATATTTAAGAAATATTTGGCAAGTATATTTTAAAGACACATACCATTTGTCTTTTTTTTTATTGTTTTTTTTTTTAGAAGTTGTGATGTGAGAACACTGCAAATTTGTTGTCTTTTTGTTGGATAATTTTATTCACTAGTTATCTTAAAACCCCTTTTATTTGCTGAAGTGCAAAATTTCAGCAAAAGTAAGTAAGCTGAAATATAGGCATGCAAAGGATATTGCATTAGAATTCCCACCCAAAGATTTTCTTTCTAATGAATGTGAACATTTAGAATGTGGAATCATGTAAATTTATCATCTGGAATCACAAAGGTCATTTATTTGTGTATAAACTAAAACTTAACTGAGCTTAAGTTTGTTTGATTCTTTTTTTCAACTAAACTATCGAGAAAGCATTGCCTAAAAAAAAGAAAATAAATGAGTCCGAAAATAAATATTTGCTCTAGCAAAAGCCAGGTGTACGCAAAAATAATAATTGTTCATCATTTTAATCTTCCAACATAAAATGAACCAGATGCAAATGACTCAAAATGTAAAAATATATTTATATTGGGGACATTGTGAACAATTCAGCATGTAATACAGTGTGCCTAAGCATATCTAGCACATGCTTTGTGCACCTCTGACATCTTTTACTTTGCAATTATGTTCCATTCTATCTCCCTCAATTTATTGTTTAGTGAAAAAACACAGTATTTATAGACATATTCATTTTTATTTGTCATTGGCTTAGTAAAGATGCCAACATCATTTGCCCCACGTGTTAAAAGTTATTACAAGCTAGCATTTTTTAATCTTTCACTCCTACTTACGAAAATCATCACATAGTAATATTGGCTGAAAAAAATAACATAATTCAAGTTCAGCTTTTCACATATTTCTGTGCTTACTGTTTATCCAAATAAAGGCAAAAACCCTAATTGGAAGCGTTTTGCAGTTTTGCAGCAAAATGTGAACGATTATTCCTGACTTGAAAAAAATGGCAGTCGTATATCTTCTTGTATCAATAAGCTGTTATCTCACATAACTATTATTCCTTTGAATTTTGTTCTACAAAAAAAACCTATTCAGATGATGTTTAGAAATCTGTAAAGAATTAGAAAACACAACCTATTCAGGCAGAAAATTCTTGATAAAGCCGCCGAATGCGGAGAAACGCGTCTGGAGGGGTCTGAATCTTATCACTATCAGCCATCATTTATCATCTTTGTTCCAGTAAAGACCATTGTTTGAAAGCTCTGCAGCACCAATATTCAGCTCTTTCGGGACGCCAAACATTTTCAAATAAGGTCTGGACTTTCTCATGGCTTAATCTGTGATTTTTAAAAGACCAATTATACATACATGTGGAAAGATTTTTTGTTTTTTTTCTATATTTTTAAATATCGTTATAATAAAATTGATTTTTAACTATCAATCTTCAGTGTGGTAAATGAAAAATACATGGTATATTGATACCCCTTTTTTTCTATCTTTTACATATATACGGATCCATGTGATGGAGTGGACAGCTTAACACATTTCTTTGGGACACCATTACTGGACTTTTATTCACTTTCTCCCAATATTGTATTGAATTGAGGTTTTTCTGTATTTTCTGGGATATATGCTACTTGTTATATATGATTATTTAGAAGAGAAGGGTTTTTAATAGTTATTTTGTAGAACATTCTAACATTTATTGTTTTTACTACAAATAAACATTTCCTCTGCAAATGGTAAAAACATTCTAATCTAAATGAGTGACATCTTGCCTTTTGTACAATCCTATTAATGCATAAACTACCAGAGAGCTATGTTCTCTAGTCTTTCGTCATATCTTGATCCTTTCATTCACATTTCTCATTTTACTAGCAGCATCATTCACAGTATTTAGAGAACTAGGCATGTATTTAAATGTTTACTACTCTAAAAAAATTTTTTTTATGTATTTATTTATTTATCTATTTATTTTACAGGGCTATTGCCTTGCTCAAAGACCAATAAAACTGAGCATATATGTTATCATACGTTATGGTTATACGTACTGGTGCATGGTAAGATTTAAACTAATTATCTGAAAAATCATGTAAAAAAACCTTATCTGAATATCATATTTCTAAAAAATGATAATAAAAATAATAATAATTACCATATTTTGAATGCCGTGTTAGAGGTTTGGCATGGTTCTGACAGTGTATGGTTTTCTGGCATTTACTTTTACTGAGTTATTTATGGTTTGTAACAAAACTACTATTTGTTTTGCATTTCAGTTATCACAAATGTCAAAACGCATCAATAGTTCCAGAGTGAATGAATTTATCCTCATGGATTTTTCTGAAAGGCATGAGATACAGACAGTTTTATTCTTTCTATTTCTATTAATGTATCTTTTCACTGTATTAGGAAACTCAGGTATAATATTTCTTGTGTATCATAATGCCCATCTTCACACTCCCATGTACTATTTTATCAGTAGTCTGTCATTTTTAGACATCTGCTATTCTACGGATATTGTCCCACAAATGATAGCAGTTCTCCTTTCTGAGAAGAAGACTATCTCCTACGTTGGATGTGCAGTTCAACTCTTCTTCTTCGGCGCATTTGGTAGCACCGAATGTTGCCTCTTTGCTGTAATGGCCTATGATCGCCATGTTGCAATCTGCAATCCACTAAACTACAGTTTATTAATGCAGGAAAGGACATGCTGGGTACTAGTATCTGGAGTTTATACTATTGGTTTCCTGCACTCAGTAATTGAGACCTGTTGCACATTCAGCCTTTCGTTCTGCTCCTCAAATATCCTCCATCATTTTGCCTGTGATTTTCCTCCATTACTAAGTTTATCTTGCACAGACACAACAGCCAATAAGATTGTTCTATTTATTTTTTCATCATTATATGTATTTCCTCCTGTCTTGATCATCCTTACATCATATGTCTCCATCTTTTTGGCCATCATGAAGATAAAAGCTTCAGAAAGCAGAAAAAAAGCTTTCTCAACTTGTGTCTCTCATATCATCTCTGTTACCTTACTGTATGGAACAATTTTTTATGCCTATTTAAATCCAAAATCCAAATACTCTTCAGAAAACGGGGCTGGAGCTACTTTTGTTTATGCCGTGGCGATACCCATGTTAAATCCAATAATATATAGTTTTAGAAATAAAGACATTAAAACTGCAATGCAAGTAACGTTTCATGACATCATCACAAGGAGAATTTAAGAATATATGCTTGTGTGTAATTTTAAAAAATACCTAAAAAAAACTGTTAGAAATAATTTGGAAAATAGTTGTGTTCTCAATAAATGTTTGTTGAACCACACATAATTTTTTAAATATTTTCTTCACAAAAAAAAGGGATGATTTATTAAGTAAATAATGGATAGTCAGGAAATCAATGTGAGTTCAAAGTGGATTTTACAAAGTCAAAAATTTTCTGTTTTTATTTCTGCTGTTTTGGTCTAAATTTGAAACTCAATTTGGAGATTAATCATTAACAAACAGTTTTAGTGAACTGAAATACAAATACTAAAATTTATGGCTACATATCTGATTTGAAAAAATTCTCAAATCAGCTATTGTCACAGCTTGTTTTTATTTTCATTGAAACTATTTGAATTACATTTTATAATAATGTTTATTAGTAAATAAACACCATAAATTCAGTTTAAATTCTTCAAAAGTCACACTATAGTGTAAAACCCAGTTTATGAAAGCTTGAGTTCAAATCTGTTCTTCAGAGAATTGAAAAAGCTTACTGATTTTAAAGATGCATGCAAAGAATACATGTTCATAAAACAAACATTAAAAAACAAAATTATAAAATAATAAAGAAAGATACTTTTGCTTATTTTACATAGTTCATTTTTATTTGCATATGTATCAACTGCACAAATACAAAACGTTTAAATATATATATATATATATATAAAAGAAAACAAAAAATATGATATGTCTACTTAGTAGCAATCGACAATATTGGACTTAAATGGAATGAATATACACATTCAAAAAGCATTTTCTGAACTGGTAATTAAAATTCAGTCAGAATTAATTCCCAATGGTTGTCCAACTGCACATGCAAAAATGTAAACATCTGCCATTTCTTGGAGGAACACAAATATGTATGCTCCCCTTAAACAGTAGTTGTGGTCAGTTAACCACGAAATACCTTGTGATTGGTTAAAGTCGGTGTGGTGTGCCGAAACCGACGTAGGGGTAGGCCTGTAAAAAAGAGGGCCCCCCCAAAGGAATTGTGTAAATATGGAGAGGGTGAGGTGGGTGGGTTGAACAGCGTACGTCATGGCAAAGGTAAGAAGTGGGGATTAGCGTTTTGTAGGAATGCTAACTACTCCCACAAATACAGGCCTGCGGCCTTAAAACTTGTGGTCGGTTAATTTTGTGACCGCAAAATACCTTGTGATTGGTTAAAGTCGGTATGGTGTGCTGAAACTGACATAGGGTTAGGCCTGTAAAAAAGAGGGCAAAAAGATTGCAGATAAACACACTTTTTTCTCATCATGATTATGATACAAGATTCTTAAATGCTTGTCTTAACTCTCTCTCTGGATGTGGAATGTATCTGTGATATATAGCAGATTCCCAACGCCCTAATTTCTTAATTATGTGTACTGACGTTTTAATACTGGATGCGGCTGATGCTGCCCCTATTCTGAATGAATGTCCTGAATACCTAATCCCAGCCTAAAAATGTAAAACATGAATTTAGCAGTAGTTAGGGGACTGCTTAATAGTGTGAAAAGCAGAGAGTGGCTGGGATTGTCTTTGATTTGAGCTAAGTGTCTAGGACTTTAACCGGGCACCAGTTATTTTCAGTAGGGTAGAATGGTATTTCTAACAAATGGCCTGTTTGTCTGGTTTTTGAATGTCAGAGTGATAGGATGTAGTGGTCATTTACCTTCTTTAAATCCTCTTGGATGAGACATAATTGACTGTCTGATTGTGCTGCAATCGTGAATTCTCTAGGTCTTAGGAACCCATCAAAGGCTACATACATAGAGGTTTTTATGTCTGGGTTTGTGCGAGGTTCAAATGGCAGTGTGTCCAGTAAGTCGGATAATGCCCGGAATTTTCCCCCATGGGTAAACGTTTGTTTGTTGCGGGATGATCTACTTTATTTATACCCTTTAATACATTCTTTATTGGGAAAGCATTGAGAAAAGGAGTATGGTTTGGAACGGCTGTCAAGACATGGTGCTGTATGCCTGACAGGTAAAGTTTGATTGTATTGTATGAAAGTTTGAGATGAACGTATCAAAATGCGGCAAATGCAACCATGGTTTGAACTGAATGGTCATGAATGTCGAATTCTACTGAGAACCTTTGGAAGATGGCCATGGCTCTGTCGTATGTTCTCTTGGTGTTCGCGGATAAGGCTACCTGAGCCAATTCGTTACTGTGTTCCAAAATCTGGGCTAGTCCAGGATTAATTTGTCGAAATCCGGAGTTTGGGTCGGGTATTTGTTGGCAGTTGGGTGAAGGATGAAGAATTCCAGCAATTTACAACGGGACAAAGTGTCAGCAGCGGAGTTGGGGTAGCCTGGGATGTGTTCACAATAGAGGAAGAACTGAAAAGTGGCCGCTAACCAGGTCAGCCTGGGAACTAGCTTAATGATGATCAATGAAGATGAACGACCCTTATTAATTATGTCGCAGGCTGCCATGTTGTCAGTATAACACTTAACTGCCATGCCTGACCAGGATTTACCCCATGTGAATGCAGCCGCCACTATCGGATAAATTTCGAATAAGGACGATGTTTTGTGAAAAGAAGGTAAACCGAGTGTCTCTTCCAGCCAGCAATCTCTTAACCAGGAGTTTTTATATATTGCTGCAAGCCCGGTATTGGAGGCTGCGTCTGTCCAAAATACTGGGGATTGGTCAGATATCGGTGGGATGAACATAGAGATCCCATACCAGTGTTCTAAGAACTCCTTCCACATGAGGGTTTGTGGATGAATGAGAAGCAGGCAGATCAATGATGAGATGTTTTTTATTAGAATATATGCTGGTGGCTATCCTGATCAGATTTGTGCGCCAGGAAGTGAAGAAGGGGGGAGGAAAAGGGTCCTATCATGAAACCTTTTTGAATTTCTTTGCTGATTAGATAGTCTACTGTATGTGGTTCGTGCCTGGCTGAGAGGAGATTGTGAAACCAACCCAGTGTGGAATCCTTCAGAAAACCCATGTAATAAGTATTCCACCAAGTGAGGGGACAGGTGTGACTTTAAGTAGTATGCCAGATTACTTATATTTACCTCGGTTAGTCATTGCTTTGGTTTCAATTTAGATGGGCACATGGTTTTGTCATGGGCCCTAAAGCATATGGAACACACGTATAGTAATCTGCAGGCACTAAAGCTACACACATCTGCATTAAAATTATTGCAAATTTGTGCTTTGCCTAAATAGATGATGGGACGACTGAGCTTATCTTTTAGGCTGCATTGGTCAGGCTTGCTAGCTCCTCCAGAGATACCAGAGTAGGAGGCTTCAGTCTCTGAGGGGCACAGGTTGGTACTATGAGAGGTGGAAAAGCAGACTGCACAAGACGGGGGTAGTAAGCCTGCAAAATGTGTGCAAAAGAGTTCCGTGTCCAAGAGTCTCCAGTCAGTACGGATGCTAAACTGGGCCAAGGTTGCAGCTGCTTTTGCCGACACAGACTTGTGGAAATCGTAAAACATGAAAACCACCGTACTTGTGGCATAAGTCTACTACTTTGTGTAGATATAGATCTAATTCCTCCCGGCCCTGCGGATAAACCGAGCATACGACATCCCTGTAGATACCGAAGGCTAGGACAAACTCAGGTATGGTGAGTTTCTTATTGAGTCATGGGTCTCTAGCCTTCATA